GCTGGCCACCATCTCTTCCTTCCTATATGCACATTTGACTTCCTTCCAGGTCAATATTACTAATGCAGTCCTCTGGTTATGTTATTACACTGCTCAGAAATCTTCATGGCTCCCCTTTTTCTATTAAAATAAAATTCAATCTCATAAAACAGGTGTGTGGAGCCTATATAGTCTAGTTGCAACCTGCTTTTCCTGTGTTGTTTTCTGATATTTCTCTACCCTGCTCTCCAATCAGATTGTTGTGCTTACCACCCCTTCTTATATTCTACTTTCTTAGCTTTCTTCGTAACATTCCTGAATCTAGAAGATTTGTTTAGAGTGTATATCCCGACTGGAGCAGTTGTCTGACTAGCACGGAGAATGGTGTCAAAATTGTTCCCTTTGATTCAGTCTCTAAATTTCTATGAAAGCAACTTAAGATTACTTTTATCCTTTTTTGTATCCACATTACTCTATGGGCTTACACTGACATTGTTTTCAACTAAATACTACACATCTTATTTATATGACCTTCCATCAAATGAGTTTCACACAGCTTAAGTATGTTTTGTGGATTAAACTCAACCCTGTGGCACTTGGCCCTCTTAAAATCACTGCTGTTCTTTTGCAAGACTAAATATCTCTCCACATACCATCTCCTGCTGCTACCATATCCTCTTGCCACCTTAAGCCCATTATGAAACAAGCAGAGAGGAAGAGAGGAAGCAAGAGGGGGAAGGAAGGAACATTATTTCTCACAGATAGAATTATGTTCATCCCCGTTCGTCCTTCCAAACTATTTCTTATATAGCTAGCAAGGGGGAAAAAAAGATATTCTAAAATCAAATCTGATGATCATGTTTTTCTCCCCAGGGAAACATCTAGGATTCAATTTCTTGGTCCCAATTTCATAGTAAAACAAGCAATGGGTTTTCCAAGCTGTAAAACTGGAGACAGTCAGGTCCTAATTACCCTTCTTTGACAAATGACTGCCTCAAAGACAATTGAGCATTTTGCTTCTTTCACGGCCATACTAAATGTTATTTAACACCAATAATGAAGAATGGGTTTTACTGGAATGAGAGAGTTGTGTAATCTCTGAAAGATTTCTGAAGGTTTCTAGTGCCTTTTTATGAGATGGTTTAAGTACATATTTAATCAGAGGTGGTCTCTCAAGGGTCCGTCCAGTTGAAAATTTATAATCATTAAGCCCCAAATATTGTCAAAATTAAGGGCTCCTCTTTCTATAACTTTCACTTTACTTTCCTGATCACTAAACTGACCAAATGAAATTAACCTATTTACTAGTAACCATTTTTATTCCTTAGGTTATGTTAGCAAGTGTGTGGTGCGTTCACAAATCTAAAAGTAGGTTTCTTATCAGAAACACAATTGTAGTCAACCTTCCCTAATAGTACCTAGGTAATTATCAATTGATTAATCTGTATATTTTAATTATTTGGCTCCCTACTTCTCTAAAGAGGCAGAAAACTGTTTTAAAGTCTAAGATAGCTGAAACTTCATTACTTGTTGCAAAAGAGAATTTATTTTAAGTGGTAGAGTCCCACTGGGGAGTGCTAACATGAATAATTACCGTTACATGCAATCTGCCAAAATGAACAGTTTCTCTGCATTTAGCGATAGTAGCATCTTCAAATGTGATTTATGTTTTATCTCTAATGAAAATTAGTACATACTTCACACTTTGATTTTTCTGTGTCCCATCAGTAGCAATATAATTTCTTACTACTTCTATTTGCATTTGTAAATTACAAGATAATGTTTGTGACAGGCAACGGGTGAATGAGAGAGCCTGGACTTGTAACATTTGGTTCCTCAAAATACCTACTGTGTCACAGTTTATATTTCAATTTAATTCTTTTAAATTTGAAATGTATCTAGAATAACTGCTATGGGCTTATCATAGTGCAGTGCTTTATGTCTCCAACAAGAAAAATTCTAATAAAAGACTTGGAAAGGGCTAGCCAGTTAGCTCAGTTGGTAAGA